AAGAGAGGACTGGAAGGTGGGGTTCACTCCCCGAAACCTACTGGAAGCAAAAGGGAGAAGAGGGTGACAGGTCCCCAAGCAGAACGTCAGGGGCTAGGGGTGGGTAGGGTGGGTAGAGGAAATGACTAAGTCCCTCCCTCACCCCAAAGTTTCACTTCCCCCCACCCTGGGAAACTGTGACTCCGAGTTCCCCCTTCCGAGGTCTTCAGCCCAGGAGCTCCCAAGAGGCTGCTGTCCCCAGGCCACACAGGGCCTTGCTGGAAAATGGGTGGGCAGTGACTGGCAAGTGGTAGAAGATGTCTGCATTTCCTCCCTGTCCCCTCCTCCACCATCAGAACTTAGTCCCTCAAGTGCTTGCTTCCTGTCCCCAAAACCGACAGCACAAGGTACTTCCTCCCCACTCTGGGGGAGGGCAGGAGGGTGGCCTGGGTAGAGCCAGGCTCTGGCACAGGAGGGACAGCAAAGAATGGGGTGGCCCCACCAGACTATGTAAAAATCTGACCAGGTTGGGGGCTGGCTTGGGTCAGGTCAGGTCTTCAGAAGGGCCTCCTGGCTGCCTGCCCAGGCCCTGACAATGTGATTCAGATGGACAAGATCCACTTTCCACCACCCCCAGGGGCCTGCTGCCCTCTGAACAGCCCCAGCAAGGAGGCCAAGGCTCATCTGCAGAGCGGGGCACACCCACCCCCGCTACTGGCCAGCAGGGAGAGAGGGCTGATGCTGCCTGCCAGCTGGGGCCACAGGCCTCCCATCCACTGCCCCCTCTGCTGGGCAAGGGAGTGTCCTTGCAGACCAGGCCCTTGTGGGATTTCCTGAGCCTCTAGGTCTGGAGCCAGGAGCCAACCCTGGCAGGAAGCTGCAATGCCAGGCTGAGCACCACCCAGCCCAGCACCCATCCTGAGGCTGCCCCTGGGGAGGTCCAGAGCCTGCAAGGGCTGCCTGATCTCTCATGAACACGGGGCCCCTGGGGAGGGGGATACTCTGGCTGGCGAGTCTGTCTGCCCCTCCCCTATCAGTTGGCTTCCCTTTTGCCCAAGCGTGGGCTCTATCCCTCCCCAAGTCCCCAGGTTCGCAGGCCCTCAGTCCCCAAGGCCTGGTGCTGGTGGCTCGCAAATGCCCTGAGATTCCCAGACCTTTGCGCCGGCCAGTGGACTCCGGCTGTCCGCGCTGTTGGTGCCGCAGGGAGGAGCCCAGCCTGTCGGCCCGGCTCTCCCAGTTCTGGAGCTTTCTTCCCTCTAAGGCCAAAGTACCCCCGCGGGCAGGGGGCTGGAGGTGGAGCACAGGCCACGGGGTGGGGGGCACGCCGAGGACTGGCCGCGGGGAAAGGGGCTGTGGGCCGAGGACGGGCCGGGCCCGGGCGAGCCGGCGCTGGCCGCGGAGGGTGCGCAGGTGGGCGCGCGCTCACCTGGCTGCCGCTCACCTGTCGGCCAGGGCAGCCAGGCCGGGGAGGGGAGGGAAGGAGGCAGGCAGGAAAGGAGGGCGAGGACCCGCCGCCGCTCCGCCGCGCTGTCCGCCCGACTCTGGGGAGAGCCCGCCCGGGGCTCCGGGACCTGCCTCCGCCCATGTGATCCCGGGGCCGCCCCTGCCGCCGCCCCTGGCCCGGGAAGCCGCCTCCTCCGCGCCGCTGAGCCCAGGCGCTGCCACCTGGCCGGCGCCCCGCTGGAGAGATGGAGGCAGACTCTCCCCAGAGACCCCTCAAGGCTGCCGTCGTCCTCCCGAGGTGCCCGCATCCTCCCGAACGCCCCTGAATGCAGCGGAGCTGTTCAAGTGACAACCCCTCTCCCCCTCTGCAGACAGCTCCCTCGGGCAGGTCCCATGCCCCTTCTACAAAAAGGGCCCTCGAGCCCCCCAGCCCGGGCCTGGAGCGGGAGAGGGCTGGCCGGTCTGTTGCGGTCTTCCAGGCTCCTGCGCCACCCCAGCTCCCACGCTGGCGCAGATGCGGTCTCGACACCCACAAATCCCAAGCCAGGGCCACCCTTCCGCCCTCCCTTCCTGGACGGCCAAGCCAGCCGACTTGCTGGCTTGGCATGGCCCGCGGTCGTCCCTTCTCTGCAGCTTCCCTGCTTGAKATACCCCATAAGCCTGCTTTGCGCAGGGTGGCCTGGAGAAGATGAAGTGGGACTCATGACTGGGGGTCACCAGCGCCTCTCCTTTCCTGCTGACCTGGCTGGGGTGGACCATTGTGAACAACCACCCCKGGTTCTGCCTGCCCCTTCTCCTCTACCAACCATTTACAATCCCARCTCTAGGGATCAGGACAGGACAGCCAAGAAGGAGCCTCAGGTGTCAGCTTAAGCAGGAGGAGCCATCTGGCCAATGGTTTCCCCGGAGTCATACCTGGCAATCCTCACCCTGGAGAACTCTGGGCCCTGGGAGCCTCCTCCTGCACCCCCGGCTGGTCTCCCAACTTGGCTCTCTGGGGAACGCACCTGTGGGCACAGCTGTAACCTGCCTGCCTCAGGTGTGAGTCATTCCTCTGAGTTCCTCTGTGAGGAGTGCCCTCGGCACCTCCTCACTTACCCTGTCCCCATCTCATCCTCCTGTACTCTGTCCAGCCACCTCTGCCCTGCCACCTCCCTGGCCCCACCTCCCACAGCCTCTGTCTGGGTGTGTAAACCACTCTCCTGTGGAGTAATCCTGGGCCTCCTGGTGGGGCACTTTGCCTGCTGCACCTGCTCTACCTCCCCGGCTAGATTGGAAGCATCCACCACCTTTTTGTGTGTGTGTCCTGAGCATGGAAGCTGGGGCCTCCTGGATGCTAAGCACATGCTTTCCCACTGAKGGACACCTCCAGCCCCTGGAAGCCCCTTGAGGGAGGCAGAAATCCAAGCAGGGCAACCACAGCCTTGGGGGTCACACAAATCTAGCCTCAAATGCCTCTTACTGTGTGACCATGGGCACAGTTCCCGGCTCTCCCAGGCCTCAGTTTCCCCACGTAGTAATGCCTAGCTTACCCTCCCATCGTGTAGATTACTCTTCATAGGCAAAGTCCAGGGATTACAAAGAGGTGTAAAAACAGAGTGCTTGCCACAAATGAGAGGGTGGAGGAGGTGGGGGGGGGGAGAACAAAGGAAGGGACATTTATCTATTCAACTCAATGATTCAAAGATTCAAGCCAGGTGTGGTAGTTTTCACCTGTATTCCCAGCTATTTAGGCTGAGGAAGGAAGATGGCAAGTAAATTCAATTTAGTGAGCCCCTGTCTCAAAAAAAAAAAAAAAAGGCTGAGGTTCAATCCCCAGTAACACACACACACACACACACATTCATTCATTCAACAAATATCTTGAGTGTCCACTGTGTGCCAGGCACTGAGTCACGTGGTCCTTAAGGGGCTCGTCCTCCAGTGTGCTTTGGACAGTCTATAAACATCTACAGGTTCATCTGCAGCGTTTCCTGCTCTGTGAGTTGTGCATTCACAAAACCCACCACAAGGACAAGTCAGCTGACCTGGGTCATGACTGTGACACAGAAGAGATCTGTCCTGCTCTAAGTGACCCTCTGCCCCGGGTACAAGTCACTGTCATCACCTGATGGGGTAAACCATCCCCAGAAATCTCTGACCCTCCCTTCACCTACGCCCTCATGCCAGCCACAAAAGTGACTTTCTTACAGACTAGAGTGGTGGCAGCCTGCGGGGAGGGGAGTAGAGGGTTCCTTTGCTGCCTGGAAGTTTCCAGGGTCCCATACAAAAAAGCAAGGGTATGGATTTGGCTCCTAARGGAAAAGGAGTCTCAACCCTATGATGTTTCATGAGGGCTTCAGGGAATGTAAATAGAGCCAGGATGGGGGATCCAACACAGACTAGCAGGTTCCTAAAGAGTGGTCACTTCTAGTCAAGGACAGGAACTGCCAACTTGGAGTCAGGTGGAGGTAAGTGTTGGGTGGAGGAAATGGATGGAGAGCAAGCTGCCCCACCCAGGCTTAAGCAACCTGCAGGGCCAGGCCACTGCCCTGTGGGCCCAGGCCCTCCCCTCTGTCCTGACAAAACCAGGCATCTCCACCCTTCACTTCAGCCACCAGCTTTCCCCACCCTGGGGTGGGGGCATCTTAAATGACAGACCAGAACATAAAAGCAGCCTGAACCTGGGCCACCCCAAGGCAGTCCCTGAATTCCTGGGTGACCCACCTCAGAACCTCTGGAAAAGCATTACCTGGGCATTACATCAATTGTGCCAGCATTTAAGACTGATGTGCCCCAGACACCTGACAATCTCAGAGCCTCAGTCTCTCCTGTAAAAAGGAAGCATGAGGGCTGGGGCTGGGACTCAGTGGCAGAGCGCTTGCCTAGCGTGTGTGAGGCACTGGGTTTCATCCTTAGCACCATATAAAAATAAAATAAAAAAGCTCCACCGACAACTAAAAAATACATATAAAAAAGGAATCGTGACCTGCCAGCTATTATGCTTACAGCACTCCCTGATCCACTCTCAGCAGCAGCTCAAGAATGGAACTTTCCTTTCTTGGAGGAGCAGTTAGACCAGGGCTGTGCCATCATTGATGGTCCCCAGGAGCCACCCAGCCTCAGGACTCTAAAACTGAGGACAAAAAGAGTTGCTTTGCCTGGCTGTGCCCCACCACTCCCAGCTTCCTGAAACCAATTGCTCAAAAACTTGATCCCAAAGAATAAACACACAAGGGCATCAGTGTGGAAATGGAGTGCACAGAAGGAAAACATTAGCAGAACAGTTAGAATGTCATCTAGTCCAGCAACCCCACAGTGGCCATTCCAGAATCAAAACAGTCTACAAACAAGGCCACATTCAATTCCCGGCTCTGGCGACTTCCACAGACCTTGTCCTGGCCCCTGTGACGTTGGTTCTCAGCACTTCTTGTCAATCAGCTGCCCAGTCCTGGGGGCTGCCCATCCCCCACACCCTGAGGGCTGAGAACTCACGCACACCTACCTGCACAGCCCATTGCAGAAGGAATCCACACAATCCCAAGCAGGAGGCCTCTCCCACCCCAGAGGAAAAAGACTCAAGAGACAAGGGCCCTGGTATCCAGATTTATTTTACATCATCTTCCAGAGGGACTTTGAACATGGAGGAGAGCTGGGAGGCAAGAGCGCAGCAAAGTCTCCCTGTGGATTGTCTGGGAGAAGCCAGTGGTGCTGGAAACMGTGGCCACAGGAGGATGTGCAGAACCCAGGCCCAGACCTCGCAGCCTCTGGGAAGCAGAGGCCTTGAGGCGAGACCTCTCGCTAGTGCTTGAAGGCTAAGAAGGGGCTGCATCTGTCCCCCACCTCGCTCCCAGGCCCAGCTGGAGGCCATAAGGCAAAGGGGCAGCAGGCTAGCTGGCGAGAAAGGGGAGGAAGTCCTGCAGGCGCTGGAGGCCTTTGGTCTGCATCAGGTTAGGAGGCTGGTCCTTGTTAGAGGAACCCCAMGGGGGTGAAGCCCGGAGCCGGTCCCTGTTAGAGGAAAGGCAATGGCGGGTGGGGGTGGGAGGCTAGGAGTCTGGTCTTAATAAGGCCTGGAAACAGTCTCCACTTCAAAGCAGACCTCTGTATTTGGGGAGCGGGGGTGGGGGTGAAGGGGCTTTCAGAGGAATGCCTGTGAGTTGTGGGTGGGAATCAGTCCATGGGGCTTTGAAGGGGCTCCAAGGGAAGGCTGCTGGGGTCTCTGCAGATGCTGGGAGAGCAGGTCTGGAGGAAGATGATGTGGGGACCCTACTCCCTCCTGTAAGTGCTACTGCTCCCCACCCCATCCTGGCTGGCTCCAAGTTGCCATGGAGACCACTCACACCGGGGCTACATAATTTCCAGGGAATGTCCCAAATTTCTGGGTCCTCCGGGAGACACCTGAAAGAGGAAAGACAGAAAGAGCATCCCCCAGGCTCCTTCATGTAACAGCAAATGTAGGGGTGAGGGACGGGTCCCCTGCTGGCAGGGCCCAGAACTGCAGGGAGAGTCCCAGGGAGGCGTGGAATTGGTTTGCCTTCCTCATTCCTGCCCCCTAGTGGCAGAAGCTTAGGTGGGCGAAACTACACTCCCTAAATTCCATAATCAAAGAATCGGAGCAATTAACAAACGTGCACAGCTTTGCACAGAGCACTGCATACTCCACTGTTCTTCCGGGAAGCCGCAGGATGAATCACAGAACTTATATTGGGAGGAAACGCTCTGGTTTAGTATGGCACCCGCGTTTCAGAGATGGGCAGGTAGGGCCCAAGAGAAGGTCCAGGGAATTAATTCCCCCAAACCACTTGGCTGCTTAGGAATAGAGTTGGGACTGTCATCTAGGTCTCTGGTCTGCTGCAGTCTCAAGGAATCCTGTGTTCTGGGGTGAAAGTGGGATGCTAGAAACACAGGAGTACAGAAAGAAGTGAAAGGTACCCCAGAACTTGGGTGGACTCCCTTCCAGGCTGCCATCTGGACTTCCTGCCTCCTGAACTCTTGCTCCACCCAGAGTGCCTTGTTTTCCCATCAGCCTCCCCAAGTCAGTCCCCTGCCCATCCAGGCCCCGCTTCCTCCAGGACACCTCCCTGGCCTGCACTGTCCAAACATGACCACAGCTGCAGGTGGCAATAAGCACGTAAAATGTGCAGGTGCCACTCAAGAACTTTTTTATTTTCTTTCATTTCAACTAATTTAAACCCAAGCGGCTACACGTGGCTAGTGGCTGCCACACAGACAGAGCAGCCCTCCCCAGGAGTCTGCATGCCGTGAGAAGGAGCAGGGGCCGGGGCAGACACCTGCCCTGAGCAGACAGTGGCCTGTCGACGGTCCTGCACCGGGACCAGTTTCCTTTGGCCTCATCCCTCCTCAGGGCACCAGGAAGGCAGCTCAAAGAACACTGGCTTTGGGAAAGCTCCGGAGTCAGGTCAGATGCTGAGTGGAGGYGCTCAGGCCAAGCATCTTTGCTGAACCGGCGTGGACAGGCAGCAACAGCCCACAAATGCCCCTGGGGACCCGGAGACACCTTTTGTGGCCAGTCCCCAGCCCATTCCCCAGACCCACATACCCACAAACCAGCCATCATCACACTGCTGCATGACATCCACTCGGTCCCCCTCACGCAGCTCCAGCTCATCCTCRTTCTGGGGCCTGTACTGGTACATGGCCCGGTACCTGCAGGAGACATCACTATGGCAGCCAGAGACTTCACCCCTTTGTCCCAGACCAGGTGGGCGGTTCTACCAGGAGTTGCCACTTCCTGAGTTTCCCAAGGCCCCTCGCGCTCTCCTGCCTTGCCCCCAAATCACCTATAAACTTTGCAAGGACAAGCCCCACCTAGTACAAGTTTCCCAAAGGTGGGGAAGGGTGAGGTATGGGTCAGTGTGCTCGGCACTGCCTGTTGGTGATCCCCACCCCTGGCCAAGAGCCCTCAGATGGTACTCACGGAGTCCAGTGTATCTGCATGGTGTTGGGGGAGGAGGCTCCCATGTCCAGGGGACGGCTGGACCCTCGAGAGTGGGACAGGGATGGCCCAGAGGTGCTGAGATTCTGGGGATCCACAGGAGGAAAGAAGGGTTCCAGAGAGGAAGAATGAGGGAAGAGAAATGGGTGGCCCGCCTCCCTGTTGAGCATCGTCCACACTGCCTCAGGTTGTCCCCCAAGTCCCCTGGTCCAGGTGGGGTCAGAGACTGGATTTTCAGGTGCCAGCATGGACAAAGCTGGGACCTAGGCAGAGTCCCTGCTCGTTATGTGTGCTCAGCCCCTGGCGAGTGGATGCACATGGGAGCCAGCACAGCCAGGAGCATGCCAGCTCAGGAGTGGCGCTGTCTTGCCCTGCAGCTAAGAGAAACCTCAGCCCACATCTCCCCGACCACCCACCACAGTGGGATCATTACCCCGMTTCACAGGGGGAAAACCCAAACCCACAGAGCACAAGTCACCTGCCCAGGTCACACAGCAGGCAAATGACAGAGCCCTGACTCCCTGCACCTCCTTCCCAGAGATGAACACTGGCATCAGGACAGAGTGGTCTGGTGTGACACAGTGGGTGGCTTTGGGGGACCTACCTAGAACTGGCTGGTTGCCCTCGTTTCCCTGGGCTGGAGCTCACGGGCCACCCTTAACTTAAGGGGCCTGGAGTTCCCAAGGTGGGAGTGGGGCTGCAATGCTAGGTTTGGCCCAGCTGCCTCACTCCCAGTGTCAGATGGGGGACAGGGTGGGGGACAGGCCACCTCACCTGGGTCTGGGGTCTGGACTCCTGGATGGGGAAGGAGAAGCCGGTGCGGCGGGGGGAGGTCCGGCCCCCCCAGTCGGTGGGGTCAGCTGGGTTGCACGGTACGGAGGGAGAGGTGGGGTGCCGGGCCAGATGGGCAGTGGTGGTCAGGCGGGGAGATGCAGGGAGCTGGGAGCTGTCTTCACAGACCCGGAGCCGGGGCTCGCGGGACACCTGCACGTAGCTAGCAGGGAAGATGCCCTGGCGCCCCGTGCCTGAGATGCGCCCCTCGTACCAGTTCTCGTTCACCTTGCGGATCAGGCAGATGCGCTCCCCCTGGGGGACAGGAGGAGTCAGTGTCCCCAGGGTCCACCTGACATGCACCCGAGGATGCTTACCTGAGCCGCATCATTCAAGACTAACACCCGGAACACAGCACAGACCAGACTCGGAGGGGGTCAGCAGGTCATCCGAGATCCCACAGATAGAAGAACAGAACGGGAGCCAAACCCACACCCCCCGGGGGAGCAAGCAGAAGTCCAAGCTCTTCCTCCATCGGGCAGCACTGGGCTCCAGTCAGGGCCTGCCTCCTTGGGAAGCACATCTGGCTTAAGTGTCCCCCCTCCACACACTGAGCTCAGAGCACTGTCCCCTCCTAGAGCTCCAATCATAGGGGAGCCTGTGACCGATTACACAGATGCAAACCTGGCTCTGCCAAGCTGTGTGGCCTTGGGCAAGCCGATTTGCCTCTCTGAGCCTCAACTCCTCGTGTGTTCAGTGGGGTAAACATGCTGCTGCTGTGAGATGCAAGAACACTTACAAGAAGCACTGGACAGGTGTTAGCCACCACTGCCACGGCTCAGTCCTGTCCCTGCCTCACCCTCTGGGTAATCCTGTCATGAGTGCATCAGAAAACAACCCCCTCAGAGCAGGTGGTTTCCTGCAGCCCCCAGGCGGACAGGGTTAGAGCCCCACCACCTTGGTGGGCTGTCCCCAGGGAGGATGGGCCCCAGCCCTCAGCTTACCTACCCTCTGTCCCCTCCCCTCCCCATGCGGCCCCTCCTTTCCTCTCTGTGCCTGGGGCTGGCTGGCTGGGTGGCACTGACTACAGGTACTGATGGCCTCTGCCCCCCAAAAATACCAACCAAAGGGAGACCAGGCCTTGCTTTCCAGGACAGCATTTTTCAGACTTTTTTTTTTTTTTTTTTAAACCACAGTCCACATTTTAAAAATGTCTTTTTAGGGGCTACAGTTATGGCTTAGTGGTAGAACACTCGCTGAGCACGTGTGAGGCCCTGGATTCGATCCTTGGCTCCACATAAATAAGGGTATTGTGTCCACCTMCAACTAAAACATATATATTTTTAAAATGTCTTTTTATTCACACCCACAGCTGCCTATAGTTGGGAACATACCCTTTCTTTCTCCACACAGTGCAGTCTAATATTTCTATCTATTCCTTTAAAAATGCAGATTATAGCCAGGCCTGGTGACAGGAGCCTATAATCTCAGCTACTCTAGAGGCTGAGGCAGGGGGACAGCAAGTTCCAGTCTGCCTCAGCAACCTGGGGAGACCCCATCTCAAAAGAGMAAATACCAAGGGCCAGAAATATGATTTAGTGGTTGAACGTTCTTCCCCAGTACAGAAAGAARGAAAGAAGAAAGTGGAGATTCTGATCCTCGTCATCTATCAACATGCAGTTGAAAAACACACTTCTAGAAGTTTATAACAATCTTTTAAAAATGGATTAAATTAAGGGGAACAAAATTCTAAGAGTTTTGGAAAAACGTGAAATACGGGGTGCAGATGGGTGTGCCTGACTAAATAAAACCTTTTAGGGTTTGGGCTGGAGATGTGGTTCAGTGGTACAGGGCTTGCTTAGCATGCATGAGGCCCCGGGTTCAATCTCCAGCATTGGGGGAAAAAAGAGTTTATCTGTCTTCATCTGTCCCCACCCCACCCCACTTCTTCCCTCTTGGTCCCACCTTGCGGAAGGATAGCTCCACCTCCAGGTCTCCCTTGAAGTTGTACTGGGCCACAGCTTCTCCGTACTCCACCACCTGGTAGGTGGGGGGTTTGATGGGCTTGGGGATCTCATCTGCAGGCAGCACCTGTGGAAAGAAAGGTAATGAGAAAGATCTGGCCCGGCATCTACTGGGTGTACCCCTGGGGCTGATGGGAGGGCGAGGCACCAAAAAGAAGGTGGTAACACGCAAGAGCTGCCCTGGACAGAGAGAAGACATTGGCTGTGGACACTGACCCCAGACAGAAGCCCCAGGGGTGGYCAGGGTGAGCCAGCCAAGCAGGTGAGGGGGTTAGTCCAAGAAGGCTTCCTTGAAGAATTTCCAACAGAGGTCTGTGGAGGAAGCGTTAGTGGAGGGGGTATGACAAGTGCCAGGTGTAAGATAGGCCAGTTGGAAAGCGAGGCTGGACTGCAGAAGGAAATGGAGTGTTTGGAGTTGTAGGGAACAGATGACAACCTCTTTGAAAACTGAGGATTTMACTTTTTACCACTAATGGGAACCAGGTGTCCCTTGGTTCAAGTGTCTCGGTTCCCCCTCCCTTTATACCCCCATCAGGTGCCCAGAATCCCCATGCGGCTTTTGCTTCACCCTACTCATAAAAGTCAAGAAGCCATCTGGGCATAGGTTGGTGGTACAACCTATGATCCTAATGACCTGGGAGGCTGAGGCAGGAGGATCACAAGTTTGAGGCCAGCCTCAGTAACTTATAGAGACCCTGTCTCAAAATAAAATAAGAAGAGCTAGAATTGTAGGTCAGTAGTAAGAGTGCCCCTGGGTTCAATCCCCAATACTGGAAAAAAAAAATCAAGAAGCTAATCAACAATTTCACACTAAGACATAAATAATTGGGGGGATGGAATATTGTATACACTTGTGAAATTTCAGGATCAGAGAAGTTAAYCTGTAGGTAGGGGATGCCTTAGGATGGCTATCAAATCAAGAACCTGAATGAAATAACAATCCAACCCATGAGTCAAAGAGGAAGTCACAAAGGAAATGATAAAATAGTTCAAGTTGAAAAAAAAAATTTAAATGGTCAGATGCAGCTAAAGCAGTATTTAAAGGAAAAGTTATAACATCAAATATTCATATCAGGAAAAGTTTCAAATCAACAACATAAACTAAGAAATTACAAAGGTTAGAGCAAATTAAACCTTGTTATTATATATTATTAAAATAAGTAAAAAGACAGAAATAGACGGGCGTGGTGACACAGGCCTGTAACCCCAGTGGTTCGGGAGGCTGAGGCAGGAGAATCACAAATTCAAAATCAGTGTCAGCAACTTAGAGAAGTACTTATCAACTCAGCGAGACCATGTCTCTAATAAAATATTTTTAAAAGGGCTAGGGATGTGGCTCAGTGGTTGAGCACCCCTGAGTTTAATTCCCAGTAGCAAAAAGAAAAAGAAAAAAAAAAGAAAAAGGAAAAAATAATAAAAAAGCATAAATCAATAAAATTAGAAACAAAACCAATAGAGAAAAATTAATGAAATAAGTTCTTTGAAAGGATCAAGAAAATAAATAAAAGGCTGGAACTGAAGCTCAGGGSTGGAATGCTTGCCTCACACATGAGGCACTGGGTTCAATCCACAGCACCACATAAAAATAAAAAAATAAAGTAAGGGCACTGCGTCCATCTACAACTAAAAATATTTTTAAAAGAAAATAAAAATAAATAAATCTCTAACCAGAAGAAAACATAAATTGTCAATATTGGTCATTAGAGGGAGGTCATCACTACAGATTTTACTGACATTAAAAGGATACTAAAGGCTTGGTGCAGTGGCACACACCTGTAATCCCAGCAGCTTGGGARGCTGAGGCAGGAGGATTGTAGTTCAAAGCCAAGTTCAGCAATTTATCAAAGCCCTAAGCAAYTTAGCGAGACCCTGTCTCAAAAAGCTAAAAGGGAAAGCGAAAAGGGTTGGGGATGTGGCTCAGTGGTTAAGCACCCTGTGTTCAATCCATAAACCAAAAAAAAAAAAAAAAAAAAAAGATACTAAGGGAATAATATGAACAACTTTATGCCAATAACTTGACATTCCTCAAAAGACACAAATACCAAAGATAACTTATAGGCCTCTAGTAAGACCTGTCCCTGGAATGTAAAGATCACATTCAGATTCTAATCTTCTACTTTGTAATTTGTCGCTGAGCCCTATCAGTAAAATGGGGATTATCTGTCACTCCCCAGGCAGTGAGGAACAAAGGAGGTAATATATCTGAAAGAGGTAATGCATTTATATATAGCTCATAAATGGCCACACACTTCCAATTCTTGCTGGTTGCAATTAGGAGAGGGATTCTGAATGGTGGAAGTCCAAGACACTGATAGGGCTGTGGCTTCTGGTTGAGTAGCTGGACTACTTGGTCTCCCCTGGGCTGGCTCCACCCTCATTTAGCAACCCTTTCCTGGGTGAACGCAGRGCATCCAGCCAGGCTGGTGGTGGTGGGGGGCATTTGTGCCCCTCACAGTTTTACATATTAGGAAACCAGGTTTTTTCCAGCCCTGGGCCCTCCCAGCCTGGCTCCTACTTGCACCTGTTCCTCCCACTCACCTCCACRTAATTAGCAGGGAAGATACCCAGTCGGCCATGGTGTTCCCCCTCCAGCCAGTTCTTGTCCACCTCCTTATGGATATAGACAATGTCACCCTTCTGCAGAGTCAGCTCCCTGCAGGCCAGAGTAGAAATGTCACAGCAAGCTGGGCCTCCTTTTCCTCAGACCCTGCCGAGTACCCCAGGTCCCTTCCACCCTCTGGAGATGCATACTGAAAGCCCTGTCTCCCACCCAATAGTGCAGAGACTACCCAAAGTGGAAGGGAAAAGGTTGAGAAAAAGCCACTTACTTGGGGGACTGTGCCTGGAAGTCAAACTTGAGCCGGGCAGCCTTTCTCTGGGCAGGGGAAGAGAACAGAGTGGGCTACCTCAGTCAGGCAGGAAACCTGCTCCATGCACCTCCTCCTGCACCCTGACCCTGATGCACCCTCCTTACCTTCTTCTCTTCCTTTCTGGCTGGGCTGCAGCCTCGTTGGGAGGCACTAGGGTCTGTGGAGAAGCACCACCTCAACTTGGGGAGGTCATATCTGGGGGGGTGTCTGGGTKGGGATGGGTTATGCTCCCTCCACCCAGGACAGACACCGAGAAGCAAGGGGCTCTGTGATCTCCCTGCCTACCTGCATATCTGGTAGGTGCACATCTAGGTAATGGGGCCGCGGGGTCCTTACCTCGGGCTGAGGAAGGGTAGACAAAATCTCTCCGACCTAGAAAGGGGCTTCCTCCTCCATCCGCCATTCTGTGGGGGCTCAGGGGTTGGGTGGGACCCAGGTAAGGTGCATGCGGGGCGCTGAAGTTCCAGGCTGAGGCCGGGCTACACGGACACACAGAGTGAGCACCGGTTTGGGACTCCCCTCCAGACTTCCCTGATCTCCCAAATCTTCCCGCCACCCCCACCCGGGCCACCTCCTCCCAAGGCGTCTCCCAGGTCCCGAGTTCTCAACAGGATGTCCTACTTCCCTTGCAGCCACGGCCGGGAAAGGGTGAGGCCTTGGGCAGGGAGAGGCCGGAGACGGCCGGTGGCGACAGTGTGCGTGGGAAGTGGGGGTCCCACCGCCGCCACCCAAGTCCCCGGGTCGGGCAAGTGGCCCTCGGGACGCTGGAGGACGGCCCCCTGCAGAGAGCGGCGGTCCCTCCCGGCCACTTTCCCACTCTCCAGGCCCCTCCTCCGCGCACTCCCCCGGGTCCGCGCGCGTCCCCCGCACTGGGCCGGGCCAGCGCCCCCGCGCCGCCGCCCCGCCCGCGCCACGTCCGTTCCCGTCCCCGGCCCCGGCCGGGACGGACCCCTCCTCCAGCCCGCGTCTCCGCACTCACCCGACCGGCGGCCGCTGCTCCGGGGCCCGTCGGGGCGCCTGCGCGCTCTGTGCGGGGAGACGGGCGCGATCAGGGCCTGGGGTCCCGGGGCCCAGGCAGCCGAGGCCGCCGCCTCCGGAAAAGTTCGTGGCTCGGGAGGGAAGGAGGGCGGGGAGGGGCGGCGGGACGCGGGGTCCTAGAGTCGGCCGCGCGCGGGAGCCGAGGAGCCGGAGGCGGCGAGCGGCGGAAGAGGGAGGCCGGGCCGGGAAACTAGGGCCGGTACGGGTCGGGGTCCCTGGGGCTGCGCTAGGACGGGGCGGAGTGGGGCGGGGACCCGGGTCCCAGACGACGGGCTGACGTGGAGTGGGCCAGGAAGGTTCCTAGGGGTCACTTGGAAAGTCAACGCCCTGAATAAGCAACAGGCTGAAGTTGCCCAAGGTGGCCGCAGCCAGAGTGCCCGCCCGTCCTCCACCCAGTCCCCGCCCCAGTGGCCACTGGCATCCCCCAGGAGGACCCCAGGAGACCAGTACCTTGGGGGACGCAGGCAGCCGGGTCTCAATCGCCCGCAGGTCCTTGTCCAGCTCAGCGCTCAGCTTGGCTAGCTCTCTCTCCAGCAGGACCTGGGGGTGGGGAAGGCTTAGGCAGTGGGGGGAGGGGTGGGAGGAGAGTAGCACAGTGTGCGTGAGTGTGTGTAGTGGGGCTGCTCAGAGGTCAGATGGGAGCAGCAGGGCAGGTCACACCGTGCTTGGGTCAAGGGCATGCCTCAGCCAGTGTCTGCTGTGGCTTGGGAGGGGTGTGGCTCCGGGTATATGGGAGGGCATTCCTGCCCCCTYTGCGCCTGCACTTCAGGGTGCTAAGATGGTAGTACTTCCTGATGGCACCTCCCTACCTTTTTAATTTTTATTTATTTATTTAWTTTTTGCCATGTCAAGTCTCTGGTCAAGAGCCTGTGAGGTCCATGCCATCGTTTTCTATGGCTTTCCATGGTCTGGCTTCACTGTACCGATCCAGCCTTCCCCCTCAGTGCCCACTCTAGTAGACCAATTACACATGCACTCACACACATAKGCATATTCCCCTCCTCCATACTTTCCACTTCAAGTCTCTGCTTACATTCATATATGTCTCCCCTAAGCAGCTCTCTTTTGGCTTGGCCAAGCTCTCTGATCTCCCTTTGCCCCTACTGAGGACCTAACCCAGCTAGATAAGTACTTTATYACTGAGCCCCATCCCCAGACCACCCTTTGATCTTTTTAGAGCTGAGTTTTAGTGCTTGGCATGATGGATGCCTGTAATCCCAGTGTCTTGGGAGRCTGAGGCAGGAGGATCACAAGTTTGAGGACAGCCTCTGCAACTTAGGCCCTAAACAACTTMATGAGAAACTGTCTCAAAAAAATTAAAAGGGCTGGAGATGTAGCTCAGTGATAAAACACTGTACAAAAACAAAACAAAACAAACAACAACAACAACAAMAAAAAAAATCCCTCAGTTCTGTGTCCAAGAATACTTCCTGGTAACTCCAGTCCATACTGGACACTCCCTCCTCTGCTCTTGCTTTGGTCAACACATGTTTATTGAGTACCTACTGTACACCAGGCACTGACCTGGGTGCTGTATGAGAGCGGAGAGTGTCTGGGCCTTTGGTCCATGACTTTTGCCCATGGTCATTGGGGCCCATATGACCCAGAATCTCTCTCCAGCCCCGATGCAACACTTACCTCGATGCGCTGCGAGGGTTTGTCAACAGGGTCATCCACCAGCGGTTTCTTGGGCTGAAGGATGGGAAGGGGAGTCAGGGGGTGAATGCACTTTCCAAATGCTCAAGCCGGGGGGTGCATCCACACCCAGAGGACCTGGTCCATACTCACCTTCTGCCCAGTCTCTAGTTCCTGCAGAAACTGGTTCCAAGAATCTTCTGTCCAGACATTTTCTGCTTTCTCTCGGCGTCTTTCTCTCGGCACCTGCACAGATGTGGRTAGCCATTACCTTGAGTAGAGGGGCACTGGGGCTCTACCCAGGCTCAAAAGCAGGCTCTCAGGCCCTGCCCTGTCCTGTACCTATCCGCCCTCCTAAAGATTCAAGCTGTGAATTTCAGCAGAGAGACCTGGCCAGACCATGCCGCTGGGGTGAAAGGGGAGCATACTGGATGAGCTACCTGATGTGGGGGCTGGAGCTCTGAGGGCAGTTCTCCAGGATTATAGGTGAAGGTGCTTCTGGGTAACTCTTCAGAGTGGTCCCAGCTTCTCCTAAAGAAAGGGAAGAACATCAGTCTCCTTTTAGGGAAACTGAGGCACAAGTGAGAACACAGCCCTGGGAGAAGGTGTAGCATCACTTCTTTCTATTCCGGCCCCATCTGGCCAAGGGGCCTCTGCTGTCTCTGCCTGCCCCTCTTCCTTACTGCAGAAGCAGTGTTAAATAGTGCCAAGTGTGCAAGCTCCAAGTGCAAATCCCAGCTCCATCACCTTTTGGTAAGTTGTATGGAGCCTCAGGTGCAGCACCTGTGAAGTGGGAGTGATTGGGTAAGGGAATTCATACCAGGTGCTCAGGAGAAGGCCAGACATACACCTCTGCTGCAGGGCAGCTGGGCTTTTCCCATGGGCCTTAGGTATCCTGCATTTGCCCTGGTATATGTCTGTGCAGCTTCCATGAATCTGGTCTTTCCTGCTGCCACAGCTGAGTGGACTTACACACATCCCAAGAGAACAGTCTGCATCCTATTCCAGGAAAAACCTCCTGGAGGTCTGGGCAAGTTATTTCTGTTCCATGGAGGTACTGGTTAGATTCAGTGACCACCCCAGCTACTGAGGCATCCTGCTGTCTTCCCTCCAAGGGTCCTTTCCTGGCTGGCTTTAATGTCCCAGCCTCTGTTTTTAGTTTGAAAGTTTGTACCAAGGAAAACCACTGTATCAAGCTTATCAAATGATGGAATGTCTGCCCGGAGGGTCAGGATTTCTTGGCTATAATTATGATTCTATTCTGATTTTAGGAATAACAAAAATGATCATGAGAATGGAATGTGTCGTGGCTAATCAAAGGAAGCTCTAGTCATAATTGAGCTTGTATATTACTAATGTTTGTGTAGACATGCTGTGTGCCAGTCGTGATGAGGATGCCAATGTGATCTCATTCCGTCCTCACTGAATGGTCCCCGCTTACAAGACACGGACACCCAGGCTCAGAGTGGGTAAGTGGCCAAGGTCACATGGCTAGTAGCAGAGCACTGGCTTCAACCCCAACTCTGGGTCCAATCTGGAGCTCTTCAGTCTCTATTGATGGTGCCCAAGAGCCACAGGCTGGTCATGGCCATGCTAGTGAGCAGGATCCCTCCATGTAAAGGCACAAGAAGCTCTTGGATTTAACTCTGAGAGCAAAGCTCCAGGTTCCCATGGGCCTGAGCAGTCTGCAGAGAGGAAGGCATTTCCTCCCTCCGCTGTCTGCAGTGTGTCTCACAGCTGCATGTGGATGGGAACCTGGGTTCATCCACAATGATTGCTTTTTCTCAGGCTTCAAAGTGGAGGGCCCCAGGACCAAGCTGCCCTCAACAGCTCTATCTGTGGGTGCCTGGGAAACCCCACCAGGCACACATGACCCATGGGTTTTTGCAGGGGATGAGTTCCTCCTGGCCACCGTGAACACAGGGCAGGTGTTCCTGACCAGAAATGGATGCCGGGCCCATTCCTGGCCACCTTTCCCCTTTTATCTTGGATGGATGGAAAAATGTGACAGGATGGCGACAGGACAGAGCCCAGCTGAGGAGCTGACCCCATCCTGCGTGCTCTGAGGCTGTGCTGGACGTGGCCACGAGGGGGCACTGGTCCCTATAGGGAAGCTAAGGCCCACACAACCTCTGGCCCCAGCTCTGCCCCCAGCTCACCCGACAGAAGCTGCTGCAGGGCCCCCTGGCCTGGAGGATGTTCTTTGCGGTGGCCCTGGCTGCTTGGGGTTTGCAGAGGAGTTCCACGAGGAAATCACTGAAGGTGGAAGAAGAAAGGCAGGGGCTGGGGTTGGGTGACCCTGTGAAGCTCCAGCATCCACTTCCTCCCTAGCTTCTGGGTGGCTGGCTCACAGGGGACAGAGATGGTTCTTGAGGCCACTTAATGTGGACTTTTCCCCAAGAGTTTTACAGCTCCAGGGTAGGTGGTATCCCCATTKTACAGATGAGGAAAGGGAGGCAGCCCATTCAGCCAGGGTGTGGCAGAGTGAGGATTCCCAGGATGAGGAAGGAAGCTAAGACTCCCAATTACCACTACACCTCCCAGGGGCTTCGGAGTTTCCCAGAATGAAGTACAAAACCTCTCAGGTTGAACGAAGCCACCTGGGGAGCCCTGGAGTCAAGCTTGGGGCTGCTTTCCCTGCTTCAGGCAGCCGGCCAGGGTGGATGAGCCGGCCCTCACTCCCTCACCTTTGGGTGGGTCCTGGAAGGTCCAGTCAGGCTGCAGGTCTGGGGAGCAAAAAGGACCAGGTCACAGATAGGGCAGAAAGTGGGGATGGGACGCCCTGGCCACTCCCAGCCTCCCGCCAGCCTAGGGCTGAGCGCTGAGTCAGGGCCTGTGGAATGTCCCAGGGAGGGGAGGAATTAGGAGAGCAGCTCTTGGGAGGGCTTGAAATGCCTCTGGCAGGCTTATGGCCTGGGYGAGCTGAGCAGGCAGCCGCCTGGCCCAAACAGTCCTGTCCAGCTTCTCCCTCCGGGTTCCCACACACGCCCTCTCCTGACCTCTGCAGACCTACCCTGGCCATGTCAGGTTGGATTTCCCCATCGCTTTCTGCGTTCTCTTTAAATGCTTTGCTTTCCCCTTGCCCAGACTCACTCTTCTGGGGCTGGGAAGGCCCTGGAAGAGCTACTGACCAGCCTGCCCGCCTTTCCCTCAGCAAACCAAAGTTCCCCTCTCAGGAGCCCACCTTCCGCTGGCTGCTGACTGTTCTGCTTCTCTTCACAGCAAACCTTAACTAGCTGAGGATCACAACCTCCCCGGCTGCCCCTTCTCTAAATAGGCCTTCAGCCCACCACTCCTGCCCCCACCACTCCTGTCCAGGACCCCACTGATGGGGCTGAGGCAGGGGCTCAATGGTGAAGTGCCCCCTGGGTGGTTCATTCCCTGGTACCAAAAAAGAAAAAGTATATGGGAGGAAGGGTAAGTCATAGGCAAACACTATGTCATTTTAGCAGCGATTCAAATCACACCTAAGTAGTGGGTTCAGGCTGGTACGATGCCACTTCATTCAAGGGACTTGAGCATGAGGGGATTTTAGTATCTTCAGGGGGTCCTGGAACCAATCCTTATGGGATACTRAGGAATAATCATTTTTTTAATTTTTATTTTTTAGTTGTAGATGGACACAATACCTTTATTTTATTTATTTATGTGGTGCTGAGAATCGAACCCAGTGTCTCATGCATGCAAGGCAGGTGCTCTACCACTGAGCTCCCCCCCATCCACTGAGGAATAACCATTTTACCCTCTATTCTGGGACTCAGAACCTTGGCTGCACATGAGAATTACCTGGGGAACTTGAAATCAAAATCTCATTTTTCAGTGAGTCCCAGATATTTCTACCTGCATTTTACCTTTCCCCTAAACTACAGTCTTTACTCAACTGCCTACTCGACATCACTCAGATGTGACATGTACCAATTCTGAATGCTGCCGGGCACAGTGGTGCACGCCTGTAATCCCAGCTACTTGGGAGGCTGAGGCAGGAGGATCACAAGTTTAAGACCAGCCTGGGCAACTTATCAAGACCTTGTCTCAAAAAAAAAAAAAAAGGCCCTGCTCAATAAAGGGCCTGGGAATACTGCTCAGAGTAGAGTATCTCTGGGTTCATTCCCTAGTATGGTAAAATTGAATGCCTCTTAAACCTGCTCCTCCTTGAGTTCTCTCTGCTCCTATAAACGGCATCTCTTTCAGCCTGCTCAGTTTTGAATCATTCTCATGCCTCTCTTTCAGGTTGTGTTCAATCCACCAACAAATTCCAATGACTGATTGGGCCAGTGGCACAGGCCTATAATCCCAGTGGCTCAAGAGACTGAGGCAGGAAGATTGTGAGTTCAAAGCCAGCCTCAGGAACTTAGTGGGGGGGATGTTGTTCAGTGATTAAGTGCCCCTGGATTCAATCCCTGGTATAAAAAAAAAAAATAGTCTAATGACGGTCCCTGGTTGTATTCAGAATCCCCAAAGGATTCTAGCAGGTTCACTGCTCCTGCCCTGGTCTAGGTCTCGTTAAAGCAGGGCTTTCATGGCAGCCATTTCCTTCCCAGCCTTACCAACCAGGGAACTGATCCCCTGCTCCCAACAACTCTTCTGCACCCAGCAGCCTCAGAGAGCCTCTTCAGCCATCACAGTCAGAACATATMACTCTTCTGCTCAGAACCTCTCTCTGGCTCCTGATCTCTTGCACAGTAAAAGCCAAAGTTCTCATAACAAAGCCCAAAGTACCTATGACTTCTCTGGCTCCATCTCCCAACAAAGGCCCCCCACTATGGTCCAAGAGCTCCTTGCTGGTCCCCAACATGCCACGCATGCTTTTCCTTCCAGGTCTTTGGAGTTCCCTCTGCTGGGTGACCTCCTTTATTCCCAGGGCTTTCTGCACCAGGGTCCATTCACAGGGGCCTTCCCTGACCATCCTGGGTGAAGTCACAGCCTTTTTGTACTGGTCACTTCCCTGGCCTTTATTTTTCTCCCTAGCCAGTTCTGCCATATGCCATCTAGAAGGTTCCTGTTTATTGTGTGTCTCCCTTTTAACTTCAGCACCTAGATTAGTGCTCAACACAGTGAAGTGCTCCACAGTCAGGGACTGATTGGATGAGTTGGCCTCATGTCCACTAATGTTGGAATGTCAGCCCTAYAGAAAAGTCAAAAGAAGGATTTCAGGGAAGGACTGCCTTCGGGTACCCTCAGAGGACACTGAGGACATCAGTGGCTGCTGGAGGGTTCTCTGGAGGCCACTGCTAGCCCCCAATCCAGGGAGGGGACATGGAGATTCACTTCTTTGCTTAAGGACCACTGACTTTAAAGCCTTGGGGTTAGATAGGTGGAGTAAATCCCTGAGGAGGAAAGTCTCTTTTTCTCTCCTCCCTCCCCAGGCTTTGGATACCAAAATATACTCTGGCAGGAGAGGGTGTCTAACCTGGTATTTTCCGGTGAATCTGCTGGAACATTTTCCGATACCAGTCTCTGGGGCTGTCAACACTCTGGGATCAGAAGATATAAAGTCAGGCCTCTGTGCTCAGCCACCCCCCCTATAGCAAGTCACAAAAGGTTTTCCTTGGTGAGMCCTTTCTCTGGCCCCTGGTGACGGCCCTGTGGGTGGACTAGGGAATCTTCTGTGGTGTCTTTCCAGAGCAATAACTTCAGTAGCATGTCACATATGCAGGGCCTCCATCAGTATATACAACCACGATCCCTACACACTGTGGATTTGGGGTGATTTCCACGTTACCTTTTGCTTTTCTACATTTCTAATGCTTCTAGAAAAAAACATGAAAAATAAAAGTGATAATGGACAGGGGGGAGATGATATTTCCCAAACAGCCCTGGGAGGCAGGAAGGGTATGTTCACACCAGCTTCCTGGTGAAGAAGCATGTTGCCTCAAGATATGGAGGCAGATGGAAGAGGGAGGCTGTGGCAGTGCTGAAGGGGTCCTCAGGTCCTTCAATGCTTGCTGTGCTACGAGGCCTTCCCACTTGTACAACTCAGACTCACAAGGGTGCCCGTAACTTTATGGGGTTCATGATCCCCTGCAACTCATCATGGTTAGATCCCAGCTTAGTCTGGAATGGTCTGGGTACAGCCTTTATTGCCCATCTCTGATTTATCCAAACAATAGAGCTCTTTGTCGGTCCCATCTGTTGGTGACCCCCAGCCCTGACTCACAGATCGGGGGGCAATGGGCATGCCGCTCTCATCCACAGGCCCGATTCCCTCGTACTTGACCCAGCGCTTGTCCCGCTGCTTGTTGTCCTTGGTCCATGTGGCTGACCAGTTCTGGGCATCCTGTGGTGGAGAGGCCTTCGAGTTCTCAGAGGACCAGGGGCCAGGGCCTGGCCAGGTCTGATACCATGCAGGGTCTGTGGGGTATGTGCAGGAGAGCATTAGCTAAAGGCTGGGGCCTCTACCTGACCTTGTTTGTCGCTTAGATCCTCACAGCATTGATCCCTGTGGGTTCAAAGTTTCAACAGCTCCTTGTTTGTTTGAATGGATGACGCAGGCTCTTGATCCCTGGCAGCACCACAGGCTTCTGTTTGTTTTCTTCTTAAAGTGAATTAAAATGGATTTTGTTTTGAGAAATATGTGTCCGCACTCAACCCCTCCTGCTTTCCTGGGGCTGTCTTAAGAGTCTACAGAATGAGGGCTGGGAATCATTACTCAAGAGAATGCTGGGGATGGCTTAGCGGGGGTGTAGCAGAGAAGAGGCTGGGCTCCCAGGGAACAGWCCTGAATTCAGACCCCAGCTCTGCCACCTACTGGCTGTGTGAATTCAGGCACATCAGCAGGCCCTTAGCACCTCAGTTTCCACTTCCGTAAAAGGAGGGTACCGGTGGGAAGGATTCAGTGACATCTACTTTGTGAGGCCGTGCACACACAGCCAAGGACAGCGAAGACAGAAACTTGTTTCCTAGTCATGGTACTGTGTCAATTTCCCCAGGATTTTTAGCCCCTAAGTAGGCAGTGTAGCAGCTAAGGGCTTCAGGGCCAGACAGRCAAGGGTAAGAGTCTCAGCTCTGCCTTGGTTCCTGAACCTAGCTTTGCCAGAATATGGAGGGATTCAATAAGATGAGGCTTGTAAAATGTGTTTGCCTGGCTATGTGCTGCTCTAAGTGTTCAGTGATTACTTGTTGAACGACGGAAGTGCTTTACAATGTCTCCCTCAAGAGAGTGCTCAACAAAGATGCCACCTCCCTCAGGGCAGGCCTACATCCAGAGGTTCCCAGGATCTTGGGGACCCTGGGACCTAGGTGACAGGCTCTCAAACAGCCTCTCCAACCTCCTGCTGGGCTCTGTGAGTAGAGACCTGAACAGCCCAGTCCAGCCATTCCCTGGCCTGCTGACTGCACCCTTGAACCTGCACATTCCCTTCCCCAGGCACGAGGCAGGAGTGGGAGGGAAGGGGTACCTCAGCCTGCTCCCCCACCACAGCAGAGGGAGGGCCCTGATCTGAGCCCGCAGGCCCCTGGGTACCTCATGATCTTGAGACATCCATCCTCCTCTGCTGCCCCTGTCTCTTGACACAGTGGTGCCAAATGGCAGGGTCCAGGGGTTCAGACCCCCCACCTCCCACACAGGGCTCCTGGAGCAGCTTTTTCTGTGCAGACCCACCTGAGAGCTCGGAAGCTTCTCTCCTCTGTGGGATGTAGCCATTGCACACAGTCCTGGGCGCAGGGTCATGGAACTGGAAATTAAGGGTGTTGGAGCCACCATTCCGGATCACAGGCACCTGTAGGAGGGGCCAGGAGCTGCAGCTCAGGGCCCAGAAGGTTCCACAGGAGAAAGGGCGGGATGGCTACTTGGGCACAGCCTGCACCCCACAAAGAGGGTCCAAGGACCAGCCTTGCCTTTCTGTGGGCAGCTCTGCAGCCTCCCCAGAGCTCTCTTCAGACCCTCCCCCCTCCCCCTTCAATTCTCTGCTCCCCTGCCTGACCTGCAGTCCCTAATAACTGGACCCACAATGCACCTGCTTCCTTGCCGTCCCACTCACCCGTGTTCCCCGGGAGGATGACCCTACATGGGCCCGGAGGTGGCCAGGGATGAAGTCATCTAGGCTGAGCTCAGCAGGGAGGTTGCAGGGTGGGCCTTGCATGCTCAGGTCAAGGCTGGATGTCTCCGTGTGTACAGACTGGTCCTCTGCAAGTTCTCTGCAGAGAAGGGAGAAGGAAGGGAAAGGCACTGTCTATAGGCCCCTGGCCGGACCCTGGTGTGGGGGAGGAAGGCCAAACTATGGGAGGAGGTTGGGGCCAGCTGGGTGGGAGCTCAAGGACCCAGGAAACAGGCCACTCCAGGCACCCGCCTGCAGGCTGCCCGTGCCGGCTCCCAGAAGCACAATGGGCCCTTGTTAGGTCTGGGCAGGAGCTCCGGGTGGGATGGGGGAKGGGGAGGCCCAGGCAAGGAGGGAGGGAGGGAAGGCTGGCCAGGAGTGGGGCTGTGGGCCTGCTGGCTAGGCCCTCCGGGGCTCTCCTTGCCAGCCCAGTCTGCTCCCCGGAGGGAAKGCACAGGGGATCTGGGGCAGCTGTTGGAGAGGGAGGCACACATGACTTTGTTTCAGTTCCTCTGCCTCCTCCAGGCTCTGTGCAGCATCTGCTTGCCCACAAGCACAAGGAGTCACTTGGGCCTAGGCCAGGGGAGAGGCCCTGACCAACAGCAAGGCCAGCCACCCACTGCCCACTGGGAAGTAGCCAGCAATGCCCTGATCCCTACCAGGGCCCAGGGGAACATTTCCAGGAAGCGGAACCACTCCTGAGCTCAGGGAGAATGGCTCCCTCTGGCCTCCTTCACAGGAGCCCTGGAGACCAGGGCTCAGGTGCCAGTGCTGGTGGGGCGGAGAGGGAAGCAGTGGGTGAGGGCAAAGGTGTGCATGGCCCTGAGTGCTCCTCTGTGCACACACATGCTCCCCTTTGTCCTGCACCTCCAGGCTGTGTTTTGCATGGAGGGTCCTCCCTGAAAGAACTGTGTCCAACTAGCCATGAAAAGCTGAGGTCAGGGGACGGGGGCTGCAGGCACCCAGGAAATGGAGGTACGCAAGAGGGGCTGGGATGTAGCTCAGTGGCAGAGCACTTGCCTAGCAGGTGTCAAGCCCTGGGTTCTATCCCCAGCACTGCAAAACAAACAAAAGGAGGGAGCCCAGAGACAGGTTTAAGAGAACACAGGGAGATCCTGGGTCGAGCTGTCTGAGGGGGCTTTGGTACCCAAAGAGCTCCATGGTCTGGAGTAGGCCCTCTCACCTTTGCTGCTGGATAGGCCAGGAGGGAGCCAACCTCCACCGCCTTATGGACTAGACTGAATCAGGCTTGTACGCACCTGTGGGGTCTGGGGGGCTTTCACCAGGGAGGCAGATGCCTAGAGGCGCCCTGCACTGTGTGTACACAGTGGAATATAGATGCAGTGCTACGATATGGCTCTTGGGGGATCACTGGGGTCATGTGAGCCTCATGGGGTTTGTGGTTAGAGGGGTGTCAACTGAGTAGCAGTTGGGGGAGTATGCAGCGGACAGTCATATGAGCAGCATAAGAGTTGTGGGGACCCTGGGGGGATTGAAGCTACAAATAGGGGGGCTGTGATTCCTCATCTGTATCCAGTTTCTGCTCAGGTCTGGGGTGGAGGGGGTGACAAGGCTGGGTGGCAGACTATTTCCGGTCTGCATTTATGGGGATTCCTTCTGACATCAGAGTGGCCAACTGGGGACATAGATCTTCATGCCAAGCCCTGACTGGAGAGCTGAGGCTGGGGGAGAGGCAGCTCACCAGCTGGATCCAATTAGGATTCTTACCAAAGCAAAACATGCAGACACACCCCAGTTCCTGCTGCCCAGCCTCCCTTCATAAGAAAAGTGAGGCAGGCAAAGTAAAAGGTCAGAGGCCTGGGGCAGGCTAGTTCCTAGCAGCCACCTCTTCTTGCCCTGCTGACTGCCAGGAGCCAAGTTGCCAGATCAGCATCWGCAGTCCTGACCATCAGCTGACTGAGCCCTCCTCCTCTAGGGTCCCTTCCCACCCTTCCAGCTCAGAGAAGTACCCTCTTGTAGGAGGAGCAGGGCAGGAGGTTCTCCCAACAATATCCGTTCTCAGGGTCTGCTACCCATTGGTGCCCCAATGTGCTCCTTCCCCAAATCTGCTGCACGTGATACACCCCAGCAATATGCAGGGGTAGGTGGTCCTAGTTTTTCTCTTGGCGTCCCAGCCAGGAGACATTAGGAGGTGGAGCATGCTGGGGGAACTGGTCCCCTGCCTAGCTAAGGACAGAGGGTGTTGGAAACTCTGGAGTCCTCCCAGAATTCAGGCAGCCCCCCTCACCCGCGCAGCCAGCACCAAAAGGCTGGAAGTCAGGGCAGACTCCTTCTCTGAGTCCCTGACCTTGGGGACTTGGCCCTATGCTTCCCCAGTTACTTTCCAGCTACAAGTCCACGTGGGCAGGGACAAGTTTTCAAGGCTTTTGCCTTTTCTGGATAGAGGTGGAGGAACTGCTCACAACTCTTCCCACTTCGAGTTTGGGACAGGGACCCTGGGGGAGGGGCTTTGTGCCTTCTGTTAGGCTGGAATCACCCCCAGCTGGGGCCTCGCCTCCTCCCCGCCCCTCTCCTTCCCTGGGACCTACCTTCCCCAGCGAGCAGGTGGCAGGGCCTCAGGGCGCCTGGGTGGGTTGGAGCATCCCTGCCCAGCTCCTTTCTGGCGCGGCCGCGGCGGGCCCTTGGGGAGCGAGGGCAGGGAGAAGCGCGGGCCGTCACGGCCCTCGTGACCGGGTCAGGACGCCGGGGCCAGGCTGGGCGCCCGAGAAGGAAGAAGGAGGCCGAGGGGGCGCGCAGGGAGGCAGGACCGTGCGAGTGGTGCGGCGGGGGAGTTCGGGGCTCGGATCTGCACCGGGGGCCGGCCGGGGTGGGGYGGAGCAGGGGGTCGGCTCCCCTCCCAAGCTCCAGCGGGGCGTGCGAGTGCCCTCCGTCGGGGCGCGCCACGGGGACTCTGTCGGCCCTTCYAGAAGGGGCCGGGCCGGCAAGGAGGCGGCGCCGGGAGGGGCCACCAAGGGTCCCYGGGGAGCCCGCTCGGTTTCCCAGCTGCCTCCCCTGGCCCCCACCACGGGGCTGGCGTCGGGAAGGGGGCGGGCGGGCCAGCGAGGGCCACTCAGAGTTTCCAGCGACATTTCCAGGGTGTGGGAAGCGAGCTGCTGCGCGGCRGAGCCAGGACAGAGGGCAGGAGTGATTAACAAGAACACGCTGAGTCCCAGGGACCGGGTGGAGCTTTCAGCTGATACGCCTCCACCGCCCGGGAGAGGAGGGAGACRGGCCCGCAAGGCTGACAGGCGGGGACCGAGATAAAGGCGCCCCACAGGCAGGGTGGCCCAGGAGCCAAGGCCCCGCCGCCTCTCCGGCTCTTGGGGAGGAGGTTTGTGCACGCATAAGCGCGCGCCCGGAGTGGGCAAAGAAAACTTGCACRCGTGCACTCGCAAATGTGCGGATGCTCACACGTGCAAGCACTGGGAGGAAATCGGCTTCAGGCAGCGGCCCAGGGCATGCCGCGCCCCTAAAGAGGATGAGGGTGGGGTCCCTTGGGTGGGGATGAGGTTAGGAGGGTCTTGATGTTCCCATACACCGTATTTGTTTTGATCTTCCTGCTTCCCGCTGTTCCCGCTACTCTGACTCGAGTCCCCAGAGCCCCGCCTTGTTCCCTCTGGCCCTGGCTTTTCCCTCCTTCCCGCCAAGCTTGTATGTGGGTACAGGGCCTGTTACAAAAACATGAGGGTGCTTCATGACTGTTTACTGACAGTGGAAGTAAAGTCTAGAGTGCATCTAGCCTTTGGCTAACCTCTGGGATCCCCAAATCTCAACCAATCAACCATCAAATAGCTACTGATCTACTTCAGATACTGTTGGGAGTGATCAATAATAATTAGGGAAATATGATAGTATCTATTGGATACCTACTGAGTGTCTAATTAGCACCCAAGGCCACCATGCACTTCAGASGGTTTTTCAAGTACAGCATTCAGCCCAAAATTTGAAAGGGAATGGAGCAAAGAGGAAGCAATTTCAACCCCTACCTCCCTGACTGCTGTTAGCTCTCTTTTCCCAGTTGGGGTAAAGAGCTATACTGGCAGCATTGGAACAAGATAATATGGGGCTGCTAAGGCTGAGGGGGAGGTCTACAAAGAGGCAGCCAGGGGCTTCCAGTGTCTGCCTGCTGCTGTGTGGTCACAGATCAGCAGCACTGGCAGAAAAGGGACCATCAGGCACAGGTCGCAGAAGCAGATCCTAGGCTTCCAAGAAAGATTTAAAAATGATTATGGGGCTCCAGGTCTGCCATTTGTGAGGTAATTTTACAGAGGCAACTATTGTACTGAGCAGGGGCTGAGCAAGATAACCTTTGAGGTCCCTTTCAATAATATCTGCCTCTCCTGATGAGGATGGGGTGGGTAGCAGTGCCCTTAGAAGGTGGCTGCCCTGGGACACTCCTTGAAGGCAGGATACACCCACCCCTTAGCACCAGCCTTTTTCCTCCCTCAGGGATAAATTACCCTTGTCCCGAGATTTCCCACCTGTCAGGGTCCTTAGGTATAAGAAGGGCCACATCACTTTCATTATCTTCCTTGTTCTCCAAACATGGCGAAGCTGAAGATCTTCCAATTCCAGGAATCCTGGCCATATCCCTCACCAGCAGCGAGCTTCTCTATTCTCTAGGGCTCTGACCTGGACTCCAAGATAAATATTTAATGTAGAGGGTGCTGCTGAGCCGCCAAAGGTCCCAACTTCCGGCTTCTCACAGAGGGAGGTGGCAGCCATGGGCAAGGAGCTGGGGACTGGCCACCAGGTCCATCTCTATGGGAATGGGGAGTTAGGTAAACAGCTTTGGAGGAGTACGGGGAAGGCTGCTAGAGACCTTTCCTCAGCTCTGCCTGTCTACTTAGGCTTGGGCCTGTCTGGCCTCAACACCTGACCCTGCAGTTTTGAACCCACCCTGTTCCCTGGGGCTCAGCTGGCCCCACAGAAGACAGGATGGAGCAGAGCATGGTGGTGCAAGCCTGTAATCCCAGCGACTTGGGAGACTGAAGCAGGAGGATCACAAGTTCAAAACCAACCTCAGCAATTTAGGGAGGCCCTGAGCAACTTAGCCAGACCACCCCCCCCCTCCAAAAAAAGAGCTGGGGATGTGGCTCAGTGCTTAAGTGCCCCTGGGTTCAATCCCTGGTACCAAAGTGGTGGTGGGGGGGGAGATGGAGATTGTTGGGACCCCTGGGCAAGAAAAACAAAGGAAACTTGAACATTTCCTCCTTTTCTGCCCATATTTAGGGAAAATTCCTCTTTGAAAAGTAGATTAAGTAGGAAAGTAGCAAGGTTCTGAGATTCAGCCAAGTATCTCAGGTGTCAGATTTCCTACCTCCCACCCCTGACTTCAGTTCCTTGTGGCTGGTCTGCCTCTGTGGCTGGAACAGCTTCCGGGCCAGGCTGAGCTGGTGAAGGTGTCCCAGATAACAGGCCCTGATCAGCTCCAGGGCAGATTCCTTTCATCCCCTGGGCATGGCCCACTTTCTTGTCTGGGGGGGACCGCCCTCCCTGTGAGCCTGCCACTTACCAACTCTGCTGCTGCCTTTGGTCAGGGGCTGCCTCAGCCTCCTCAGCCACCTGAGCCCTAGTAAACATAGTCTCAGTTATATAACTGCTCTGTTTTCTCAGATATCTGATTCCAGTCACCAGGATCCCCACCTGTGCCCAAGGCCACCAACTTTTAAAAATTCTTTTTCCTCTTGGTACTGCAGAATGATCCCAGGGCCTCGAACATGCCAGGCAAGTAGTCTAACACTGAGCAACATACCCAGTCCTTTTTATTTTATTTTGAGCAGGATCTTGCTAGTTGCCCAGGCTAGCCTCAAACTTGCAATCCTTTAATCTCAGCCTTCAGACTCACTGGGATCACAAGCATGTGCCACGGAACCCTGGCAGTTAACTTTTGTTTTGCCTGTATCCCCCCATAGCACTCTTGTCCTCAACCCCAATTTCAGGGCATCATGAGCCAAGCACCACCAATATCCTCATGTGGAGGGAGATGGGAGGATAAAAAGCAATTCATTCTGAAAAGCAACTTCTGTCACCAACAGGAAGTGTAAGTTACCCTTTCCTCTCACAGGGAAGACCAGGTGGGTAGGGGACAGAGAACTGGGATTCTCTTCCCAAGTAGGGAAAGAGAAGATAGAGATCACAGAAGACAGACACATAGTCACTCCATGTCTTTCTCTAGTGCTGGGAACTTGCCATTAGTTGCACTCAAATCTCTCCTGCACTGGGCCCCAATCTCCTCACATTAGATAAAAGAAGAGCATCTGCTGTCCCTTTTAYTCTCCTGCCCAGGGATGACCTGGTACATTCTTCAAGTAGATTCTGAGCCCTTTTTTATTTGTGCTCTCACAAGAGTATTTTCCTGCAGACCAGAAGGGCTTAGTAAAGAAGTCCAGCAGATAGGACTTCTCTAAAGGGGTGACCACAGTGACACAACAGTGAGGAAGAGAAACCAAGTCACCTTGGACACATCAGGGGCTCTGGACTCTGTTTCATCCCCTGGGCCCCATCCTTTCTCCTGGGCCCTCTGCTGATTCCAGCTCCTGCAGTGCTGGCCAAGTTCTACTAATGGCCCTTGTCCATGCCAATCACTCACAGGAACAGGGTGGAGTAAGGGAGAAAAGTGAAAGTGACCCACTTTGAGGCTTCAAAGGCCCTCCTGTGCTAATAATGGCATGACCTGGCCCATCTGGAATCCAAGTTTTTTTGGGTCTAGTCACTRTGAAGTGACTGTGAGTGAAAAAGCACCCACCAGTACTGGCCAAGCAGGGTCATGTTGGGGCCATGGAACCCCACAGAAGTACAGAATGAGCTTCCCATAGCACACCCGTGATGTAACAGGAATCTATCTAGGGACCTCGGTCAGTCACATCCAAACTCCTAAGGCTGTGACAGAACTTAGCCTTTCATCCCGTTTATCCGGCCTGTCCCCAAAGGAAACCTTGACAATGACGTCACGTGATTTCTTTCTCCCTTTTCATGGACAAGCAAATGAGCACAATGTGCAGATGGGGTGTCTTTGAGAAGAACTAAGCTGGAGGAACCTCTTTTAGTTCCAAAAAAGGATGAAGAGCAAGTGGCTTCAGCTCTTTAGAAAGTCAGCTTTATAAGAGAAGGACAAATAAGCAGTGACCTCAGAGGGGAAACTATGCCAAGTCAAGCTGGCCACAGAGAAGGGCACAGAACCAAGAGCTGGAGAATGAGGTCTGCCTGAGCCTTTTTCCCACTAGGGTAAACTGAGACGGGGAGGATGATAAGGCTGACTGGCCAGGGGACACCATGAGGTAGTGCTCCGGCCTCCAGACAAAGGACAACCTTGTCTTCCTGCCTCTTTGAATTCTGTAATGAATTTTCTCCTGCATCGACATTAAAAGGCGACTTAATTTGCCATTAAATTGTCAACCCACTGTATCAACATTAAATAGATTTTCTTCCTAAGACCTGAAAGTTGTGATTTTAAAAAACAACCAATGCCAAAACAAAAAAAACTGTGCATTATTAGAGCAGTGGGGACTCCATCTAGATCTAGTGCAAGGTCCACATAAATTTGCATTGCAGCCCTTCATTCCCAGGATCTTAAAAAGCTCCCTACAACCCTGCAAATCAGGGCAAATATCACCTCATTTTCCTGAGGCTTTAGCTAAGGAACAGGATGCTGCTAATTCAGGATACCACTAGGATAACAGAACCCACCACACATACTTAGCTTTTGTGCCATTAGATATCTAGGTACTTTTTTCTGGCCTGTAAACTGCACCATGACCTTAATGTGGCTATATTTAACTTCATGATTGCTGTTTGGGTTTGTTAGGCCTGGATTTAGCCTTTCCACCCAACTGCCGGGATCTGTAGAGTTCCCTCTCCAGGCCCTGGTGCTTCCCATCCCCAGTCTCCCACCTGCCCAGAGAGCTTATTTGTCCTTGTGAATCCATAGCACCTTCAAGACATTTCTACTTTTCAGAGAAATTGAAAGGCTGTTCTTGCACTTCCTGTTCTTGGTAGTCCAGCTCAACTCCTCTCTGGCTTTGACTTCTTCCAAGTTGGAATTCATCCACATCTATTGTTAGGATCACATGCAGGGTTATTAAATTACTATAATAAAAGCCTATTTTTATCTTTTGTAAAGACTCGAGATTCTTGGGATGTCTTTCTTCCTTTTCTTCAAGTAGTAGCCTCTGTTGGAGAAGCCACAGGAGGAGAGGGTGTGGGGTTGAGCAGGACTTAGTGGTGGGCAAAAGACCAGGAGGCAGCTAGGAGCAAGGGAGTGGATTTCGAGTGGGAAAAACACAAAAATACAAAAGTACTTTAAAASGAGGGGTGAAGGAGAGAGATCCTCTATTGCTATGGGGAACTCCCTTGAGAGCATTGTCCAGAGAGTAAGCCAGATATCACAAGCCAGGCTTTCCCTTTCTCCTGGAATTATTAAATGAGTAAGAGCCAAATATCAACACCTCCACCAGGAAATAAAGACACAGGGAGCCAATAAATTATCACTCAATTATAAGGAAGTTTCCTTCTTCTTCTTTTTTTTTAATCTTAAAGACAACTTCCAATTTACAGTAAGAAAGGTCTAACAAAGCAATTTCTTGTTTACAAAAAAGACTTATTAACTGACTTCTGCCAACCTAACATTTCTGCCATTTTCTTTAACGTAACTGAAAGCAAGAAAAAGCAGGTCATCTCTAAGTGCTAGCAGATAAGCCATCATTCAGAAGAACCTTAAAAATTTACACCAGCAGCCAGCCTCAAACATCTGACCACTTCCCCACCCAGGAAGCAAAACCAGGGAACTTCCTAGCAAAAGTTGGCCGACTTTTCTATTAGGAAACACAGCCACTGGGTACAATGCACAGAGAAGGGGAAATACTGTATCCACCATAGCCTCTTCAAAAGATTCTGTGACAGAAAAAGCATGGCTTTATTGCCCCAAATCAAAAACCTATGGCTGCCTTGTTACTTGTGCTTCGTTTTAACATGCAAAAAAGGGTGCTCGGTGGGCAAGAGATGTGACAAGGGTATGAAGGGAACCTGGTCCAGAACTTACAGGCAGGCAGTGTGCACGGCCTTACTTCAGAGCAGCGCTGGGAAATGCGCTGAGTCCTGCTCTTGCTTCTTGATCTGAAGCCACCTTGACTTGTCATGAGGGCACTGAGGAGAAGCTGCATAACCCGTCTCAGACAAAGGTGTTATTTGGCAAGTCTTGCCACGGTTGCCAGGGCGTGAGGCCAAGGCCTCCCAAGAGGGAGTATATGCTCAGGATCATCTTCACCTTTGTGACTGCATAGATGAAGGCAGCTAACATGACCCCATTCACTTTGGCTGGATAGAGGCAGAGCAGGTCCCCAGTCCCAGCGTAACACAGGTTCTCACTCACACAGTCAATGGCCCAAAGCTCTAATATGGTTCTCTGCTGGCACCCCAGATACTAAGAGTAACAACCCTGTCCTTTGGCTACACAACTTTCTCCACTATACATATCTCCATTTTTTTTTTGTGGGGAGGGGGTACCAGAGATTGAACTCAGGGGCACTTGACCACTAAGCCACATCCCCAGCCCTATTTTGTATTTTTATTTAGAGACAGAGTCTCACTGACTTGCTTAGTGCCTCACTTTTGCTGAGGCTGGCTTTGAACTTGTGATCCTCCTGCCTCAGTCTCCTGAGCAGCTGGGATTACAGGTAGGTGACACCACACCCAGCAACATCTGCTCTTTCTTGAGGCTTTCCTCTGATCCTCTGATCATAGCAAGGCTCAAAGGGTCCATGGCAACACCAGGCTTCAGAACCATCTACCACGTAACCCAGACCCTTCTCAGTCTCTGAATAGCAAGTTGTAGATGGCCTTTTACTCCAGGTCTAGCAGATTTCAGAAAAGATGGGGCCAGGTACCAGACAAGATGGAACCCATGGTCTATAACCACAAATAACTTAGGAAACTGGAGCCTCATACCCATGACTGGGGCTCTGCTCTTTTCTGCCTAGGCAGGGAAAGCTGAGTGTCTTGAAAGAAACTTGGATTCCAGTGTTACTATAACAACTAGACTAAATATGGGGTATTCTAGAATGCCATCTCAACAAGTCTTTATGGGATAGAAAATAATTTTCAATGCAAAGATCGGGGAGAAATACAAAGGAAAACTAGGATCAGTCAATGTGGGGCAAGTTCTTCATAAATTAATTTAACTGACTGATCACCCAGGTTGGTAAGGACAAATTTTGAAGTGCTTGTATTTTTTAAAATGTTTTTTTAGTTGTAGATGGACACAATACCTTTATTTTTTGTTTATTTTTATGTGGTGCTGAGGATTGAACCCAGTACCTCACACGTGTGTGGCAAGAGCTCTGCCACTGACCAACAGTCCCAGCCCAGTGCTTGTATTTTTATTTAGAGATACAATACAGAAAAAAAAATCTAGAGATCAGCTACACTATTTATACAAAATAAGGGAGGATTGAGGGAATAGATTTCAGTCTTCCCTCTTCTGAGGCTAGAGTGAC